CAACAACCAATGCAGTCCTTCTTCCCAACAGAAACCTCCCAAGCCTGGTTTTTATTATCAGGCCCTCTATCAGCCTTCTGGTCTCCTGAGCTCTGACCAGAATCCCCTCTACAGAACAGCCTAAGCTGCTCCAGCTCTACACATCCAGGCAACATGTCCAAACCTTTCCAAACTCTGCCCACAAGCCATTTCCAAAGCCTCTAGAAAAACATGGTCAAGAATAGTCACAGCAAAAGACCCCACTCCTAGGTACCAAATTCTGTCTTAATTACTTTTTACTTGTTGCTGAGACAAAATACCTGAAGCCCAATTTCAGAAAGGAAAGATTTATTTCTTACATTTTTTGCAGGTTTCAGTTCACACTCAGTTGCCTCCAAGGCAGGCAGGTATGTCTGGGCCACAGTTCATGGAGGCTGCAAAAAGCACACAGGAACCAGCAAAAAAGCAAGATACACCTTCTTCCTGCCATTGAATTACATCCTGGCTCCACCCAATGTGGGTTTAGGACTTACACTATCAATCCGTACAGTACACAATGAACCATCATAAATGCACAATGCAAACGCATGAGGCCTGGGGGGCACAGGCATAAACCATGACATTCCACCCCTGGCCCCCAGGACTCATATACATCCATTATGCAAAAGACATTTAGTCCACCTCCAAGAGTTGTCAAAAGACCTTCCTATCAAGGTCACTTAGGTCTTCTCAGGAGTTATCTTAGAACCATTCATAACACCTCATGGCTCTTCTATCAGTGTCAGCCACTTAGAAGAGTCACAATCATTGCTTCACCACGTTGCTCTCTGTGAAAGCTTGGGAGATTTTTCTCCTGTGACTCTTCTTAGGCACACCTTGCATTGAAGGTGACTTTCCTCTGTGGTTTCATCATCTCCTTGATGAGACAACCAGGGGCTCACTGAATATCTTAGGATGATGCAATCAGAGATTATTTTATATCCTGGGTCTCCACCACCCTTGAAGGGCTGGGGCCAAAATATTGGCTATCCATTTAGCCCATCTGTTTCTCTGAGTTTTGGCTTCCAAACCTTAGCTGTCAAACATCCAAAAGAAGTTTTTCATAACAATACAGTATATTACAGGCAGTAAGTGTAATATTACTATTTTATCTAAAGATGAAACATCTTAGAACATTAAATGAATCCTATTTTCTTCTATCCATGGACATTTTAGCCTTTGAATACCTACAGTATTAACACTTGCATATTTTACATAATATATCAGGAATCAGAACCATACATAGTATTGCATCATGACAATCACGAGATTCTTGTAATAATCTAAATTCTTGTTTGACATAAAATATCCCTTTTAGTCAATCACCCTTATCTAATACACAAGAAGTTTTTTGTATATTATTGAAAAACTTATTGATCTTTAGTTGAATGTGAATCTCACAAGTCTTTGTGAGCAGCAAAGGTATGCACATGAGACAAAAATCTGTTACCATAAGTAATCCCCATTTTACAATCATGGAGTCTTATGCATCCAGAATTATGAATATATGCAATACATCATATAGTTGATTAAAATCAACTGTCATAACCGTGTGAAACCTTTATACAGGCATCATCAAACCAAAAATATGTATTACTTCATTTGATAATGACCAATGTGAACATTTAGGAATAAATTTCATAAATTTATTTGAGGTGTCTCCTATAGTGATCTGGAGATCATTGAGGTCTCTAATCAATGGATAAAAACTGGTTAAAAATGTTACCAGACAGCTGCTTTCTTATTTATCAATCAGAGCTTGGTCCACCAATCTAACTGCTAAGGGACTTTATTTATTTATATTTTTAAATTTATTTTTATTTAAAGAAAGACAAAACAAAACAGAAAGCAGGTATAAATAGTACATACATTCAAATTAAAGAATAAACAGTAATAAATCACTACTTTGTGTGTTTTATTGTCCTCTTTCAAACAATTGTTCAAGATACAAATGTGGACCATATAAATGGGAATTCAAACAGGGAGACTTCAAGTAGTTCTGTTCAACTATCTAATAAAAACTAAGTAATATGGCAATCAATCCTATACACTTAATCATGTATGTATTTATCCATATCTTCATTTATGTTGAGTTTAAACAAACCAAAGCAGATGAAAATCACTCTAGTTGAAGATTAATAGTATTGTTTGATTTCACATCATGACACTATAGAACCAGCACTGGGTACTGTAGTCCCCTTTTTTCTCCTTCAAAGTATTTGTTCATCGTGTATCATAAAATCAGTTTTTCTAAATTATTGATAGGTTTTATGGAAGCATGCATCTTAACATGTGTTACTATCCTTTCTATATTAGAGGGAGAAACAGAACAAAGCAGGACAGAGCAAAACATAATCCTAGACATACAAAAAACTAAAAAGACATATAAAACTGCTGTACAAGGAGTTCTACCATGGTTACTGTGTTGTCTCTTGTTATCATCAATAAAAATGGCTATATCATCGGATAAAGTATAATTGAATACATCACTGCATAACAGTATTAACAGAAATAGAACTTTGTAGATAGTGTAGAGCTACAAAAACAGATATTAATCAAGTCAGAATGGGTATTATAGAGAATCATTTCTATTTTCAGTGTAGTTGTCTACACTCTGACGATACTATCAACCTAACGGTTTTGAATAAAATAGTCAATAACAAGAAGCAATCAAACAAATCAGATTTAAATAAATTCAGTAATGATATAACAGTATAAGTTATAGAGGAATCTGGTTTAAGTTAACAGGAAATTAAAGATGATTACTGTGGTATATCCTGATATTTTTGGGATAGCTGTCTGTGCCCTCAGATTTAGTGCTTGTATAAAAACTGGGATGGAATAAGTTCTATCTAAACAGAGTGGTACAAGTAATATGGGTTTTAATTCCTGATACACTTATAGCAATGTCTTCTTCTGTCTTTTTAAAGTCTATTCTTCCCTGGAAAAAAAAAGAGCTCTAACGGATATAACAGCAAGTGTGTATAGGGCTGTTAAATAGCTGACTATATTAATGTTTTTGGATCATTGAACACAGCTGTTTGCAGTCTCTCTGTTTGAATGTCTACTTTGTATTCTTTGATACTGTGATTTGAGCAACTATTTCCAAGATGATAATATGTAATCTATTAACAGGTGATTTCTTACTGTTATGTTTTTTTTTTTGTAGTTCTGTATTATGTGTAATCTTACACTGCTTTGTTTTGTTTTGTGTTTTTCTCTTTTTCCTCTTAAATTAAAAAAAATAAAGTCTATTCTTCCGCTTTCACTCCCCCAGGGTGTACTGTGTATTTTTGGGTCTCTCCAACACCTTTGGTTTTATATTGTGTGGGCAACCTGCTATTTATCTAAGTGTTTCTGAACTTTCTCACTCCAGGACTTGATCTCTAGTTATATTTCTTTACTTATTAAAGCCTTTCTTTCCAACCTACCCATAAATACTGGTCCAGTTGCCCCTATTACTCTCTCATTCCCTATCACATCGAGTTCTATGTTCTCATATTCAATTTTGGTCCAAATACCCTTCTTCAGGTCAATTTATACTTCCTATAAAGAGCATCTCAGTTGGCCCTATTTCTTGATCCACTCTGTCTGTGATTCTCTCTTTTTTTCCTTAATTTAGTGTATATAGGACATCTGCATTAGAAATTATATCCAACCTTCTCTGTCTCATTTCTGTTGTTCTATTTTTCTGTCATCAGTTGTCTATTTGTCTTCTTCACTTTGCTTTTTGCTCCATTCATTGTGGCCTCTCTACCACTGTTCCTGAAATCTTGGTGATTTTCTCTCTCTTTAGAATGTCCTATAGTATTCTCTGTAGGGTTGGATTGGTGGTTGTGAATTCTCCCAGTTCCTCTTTATCTTGGAAGCATCTTATTTCTCCATTAATTTCTAGAAAAACTTTTCAGGATACATCAATCTGGGCAGTAGGTTATTTTCTTTCAGGACTTGGAATGATTCACTCCATTTTCTTCTCGATTTGACGGTTTGTGCTGAGAAGTCTGATGTAATTCTGATGGACTTTCCCTTATAAATGATCTGTTTCTTGTCTCTGACATATTTTAATATTCTGTTCTTTTATTGGATTTCTGGGATCTTAATTATTATATGCCTATGTGTAGTTCTGTTTTGGTTTAGGTGGCTGGAGTTCTGTACACCTCATGCACCAGAGTATCTTTTCCTTTTCCAATGCTTGGGATGTTTTCCTTATTTTTGTGAATAGCCTTTGTAGTTCCTTTGTTTGTACTCCTGCTTCTTCATTTACATTGGTTATTCTTGGGTTATACAGAATTTTGTCATCATCTAGCCTTTGTATTTTTACTACTTGTTTCCTTGTTATTTTTAAGAATTTTTTCCTTTCATGATCCCACAGTGCAAACCTGTCCTCTAGTTTGGATAATGTATCCTTAGTTTCTTGCAATCAATTTTGCCAGCTTTCAAAGGAGCTTTTAAATTCATGGTTGTCTCTTTGAACCAACTTCCTTTCTTCTATCTTTGCTCTATTTTCCTCATGAAACAATTCTCCCCTTTTTTTGTTTTCTTCCCTTTTTCCATGTTTTTTCTTGAGAGGTGCTTAGCATTTTTTAAAATATTCTATTTATATCTTGCCTTCCTTGGTTAAATACTTCACCTTTCAAATTATCTGTGCATTCCTGAAGATATTGCTTTATGTTTACTGGGCCCATGTCTGATATTGCATGTTTACTGTTCTCATTCTCCTTTGCTGGATCCATGTTCTCATGATTGGGGAATGGGAACCCTTTCTTGTTGCTTCCTCTTATTATTTTTTATTCCTTCCATACAGGTGTATATGGGAGGTCCAGGTTCTTTCTTTGTTGGTTACAGTTTGTCTGAAGTGCTGATTGTATGTTCCTACCCAGTGCAGTGTACTATGTAGATACAGACCAGGGAAGTCTATGCTGGGCCCACCCCTCTGGATTAATCAGCCTGCTGAAGGCTTCACGGCATTAGGGTGAACTTACAGGCATCGGGACTGGTATGGGCTAGCCTATTGGTCTCAGCCTGAGGCATGACACAGGTCAGGTGCTCCCCATCAATCCCACTTGAGAAGGGAGAAGCTGACTGACGTCACTTCAGCCCCTTGTTTTGGCCAATTTGCCCCATCCCAGAATGTCATTTCTTGGAGCTCTATGGAAGGGGTTTATTCCCATCACTTGCCACAGGTCGATGCAGGGTTCCCTGCCATCTCAGCTTGTCATTTAAGATCACCGGCTCCCGTCCTCAGTGCAAATGCATCTCCAGTGAGATTAAAATGATGAGCTTTTGTGTAGTTCCATAAATCTTGGCTGCATGAGATCAAGTGTAGGAGTGGCAGCACTGAGACTGTAGCTGTTTCAGGAGGAGCACTGGGACTGTATTTTTAAATGGTTTCTCTCAGCTTAATTTATTCCAGGCTTGGGATGGTCTATCTCCCTCTGCCTGGGTCTCACTATGCTGTATTATTTTTGGAATCTAAGTTAACATCTCAGAGAGTCTCTGTAGCCTGCTGTTAACTATCCACCATCTTTTCTCCTCCAGGACTTTGTTTATTCATCGTAATAATATAATTTCTAAATAATAAGACTATAAATCAGTGTTGAATAACAACATATTGCAGTCATATACCCAGTATTTGTGACATTTCGAGCAGCTGGCAACCAATGTGAATCCATGCCTCATAAATTCACAACCCAAACATGTCTTTGATCAAACAATGCAAACTTGGAAAAAAAGAAAAGTTACTGAGCTTAAAATGAAAGGAACAGCTGTTTGCAGAGTGGACAAATGGACAAACAGACAGATGATCAGTGTGGATTCAAACAAGCACAGAAATCAGCACACAACTTGTTGGGGTCTCTGAGAATATTTAAGTTCCCAAAGGCCATTTATGTACTTGTACCATGCCTCTTTGTTAAACTAGCTGCCCTTTTAAACCCCATGCTCCCAGTGCTGGAACACCTGTTCACCTCAAGCACTCCATGCCCTCAGCATGTTTCCCAGATGTTCTGTGCCTGTATGGGTATTTTTGCTTTCTGCTTTACAGGTATGAACAATGACTAGCTCAGCAATTCCCAGCAATTGCTTAAAAATGGACTGGACAAACAGGCAACTGATATATGGACAGATTGATAAACATCTTATGAAATCGGAGTGCACTCAAGCATATCCTTAATCAAGCCAAATTACAATACCTTCTTTCAAATTTCAAATCTACAACTATGAATCAACCAAGTGGATTTGCTTTAGACCAACTTGTAGAGATCTTACGAAAAGGATCAAAGGCCTGATTCAGGGAGAGTTGAAATGGTGGAATTGCATTTTGTAGCCTGTGATGCCAACTCATTCCATACAGGGCAAACACAATTAGCATTAATCCACACAAGACCTTAGCAAAAACACAGAGGATGCCCCTTCCCCAGATCAACAGAGGCATCAGCTCTAGCCCACATGGGCCTTGGGGAGTTTTGTAACATACAAAAGGGTTGTCAGAGGTATATACTGGCAAGAATGTATTTGAATCAGGGAAGAAAACAGCCTAAAATTGAGACAGACAACTGACCTAAAGTAAATAGCACCATGAAGAGAATAGTAAAACCTGTGCAGGAAGTGCATTTTTCTTTTTTAATTGTTTAAAGAGAGGAAATATTCTTTTCTTATTTTTTATTTAAAATAGACTAAACAAAACAGAAAACAGGTAGAAAAGATATACGCTTTCAAAGACAAACTAAACTATAAGAAATCACTGGTTGATGTTTACATATTGTCCTCTTACAAGTAAGTGTTCAAGATACAAGAGTGGATTACATAAAATGGGGATGCACATGATTCCTCATTATGTGGCCTTGAAGCCTTACAAAATTTTCACTTATTATTTGGAATGGCTTTATTCTGGGATGCTTGATATGGAAATATTTGAAGCTATAGTATATTAAATTATATTCAAATATTTCAAGGAAAAAGACAGACACTATGGTAACTACTATTAAGTCGGGTTATTTGTGTGAAACACTAGGTTGCTGAAGTTGTCATGCTTTGACCTGTATTGTTATGTTGTTATGTTCTCTTTTATCTCAATCTCTCCCTTATTTATTAAAAATATTATTTAGTTATTTTTTAAGATTTTTAATTAAGGTGAAAAATTAAAAGAAATCAGCAGGATATATTATAGTGATTTTTTGATTTCCTATTAACTTGATTTGAAGTCCTGTAATACTCCCACTATCTTGTTATGACTGATTAGACTCTGTTCCATTCTGTATGATAGTATCAAGTTTAAGAGTATAGGCAACTACTTAGAAGGCAATAAGATTCACTAAGATACCCATTCTGATTTGACTATTATCTCCTTTGGAAGTTGTGTAATGTTTACAATGTTTAGGTTTTATTGGTCTTATTCTCTACTGTTTAGTTCAACTTTATAATACCTAATGAGATAGACAATTCTTTTCAAGGAAGCAAGAGGCTTCAAGGAGACCAACCAGACTATTACAACTGAAAAGGCTCAGCACCATCCCCTCTAGGAAAGGGAAACTACCCATCAGGGACACAAAGCCCATGGTCTGATTGGCATGGGAGGAAAGGAAGTGACAGCAGCAGCTAGGAGGCAAGTTCCCCAGGAGTGATGCACATGTGTCCTTCTTCAGAATGGAGTGATGATGTTAACTCCCCTTCTACTCATCACCTGCTGTCCCCCCTCCCTGGAGGTCAGAGTTTGGAGCACTACAGTGTATAGCTGAGTTGAACATCTAAGGATGAATAAATAATCTTTCCTAAGCACTTGAGAGTAAAACTGGCTATGAATCCTCCTCCCCTGGATATATGGGGTTTATAACATGAGAACTTCAGATTGTTTGGTAAAATTATTATGGGTATTCTGCTTCCTAATGGAACTGAAATTAAACTAATATAAGCCCAAGAAAGGAATTCATCCTAACATTTGACGAATCTTTAACAGAAGACAATGTGTCTTTCATCCTCCGAGACAATGGATCCTTTGGATGAACATTTCTGTTTGGCACCCAGCCTGACACATCTGAAGCATCTACATGTTTGCTGCATTAAAATTTTCAAAGTCTAAATGTATACACAGTTTTCTAGCATTTTAACTTGTTGCTTCTAAGGAGGACATAGATTTGTTCCACAACAAAAATAAAGGTGATATCACAGAGGAAGGCCAAATTGTGGATCCCAGTGCATGACCTCACTTCCTTGGTGACAGGTCCAAACAGATCTCTGAAGGCTCAGGTCACCAGGCACCTTGGTCTGGTGACAGTTGGTCTTTACAGACAGTTGGCTCAAGACAGTGAACAGCAAGCAGGTTATGCTGCTTTCCCAGGACACGGGACCCCAGCCTCAGGATCCCACATAGGCAGACCATGTGGGAATGGCTGAAAAAATGGTTCTCTCATCCCAGAGCCTTCAGGATGATTGCTGGCAAATGTCAAATGACAAGCGCTTTAAAGGACAGGGCTCATTGTCCCCAGCCTTCTGGGACCCAGAGGCAGGAGAGAGACCAGGACAGGTATCACAAGACTCAGCCAAAGCCACTCAGACTCACTGAGTCCATCAGAGTAACATTAAGGCCTGACCACCACTGTGAATCCCCCTACACAATTCCTGCCCTAAGTCAAGTGTGACTGGGTCTGACATGCCCTGAGGGCAGATACTCATGGGCAGGTGCAGGTCTGGAGGGGATGCAAGCCTGGGCCACTGTCAGGTTCCCATCCAGACCGGGCTGGCAGAGCAGAAGAGCAGCACCCCTGTCTAATCCACAGTCTCCAGATTCCTCTTCTGTCTTCCTGGGTAGAAATATGGGACAGAGCTGTCTGTCTTACAGAAACATAAGATTATCTATGTTCACAAAGAAAAACCAGTGGTGTCTCAGAGCCTCAGAGCCTCTGGCTTCCTGCCAGCTGTACTCTGCCTCAGCAGAGTGGCATATAGGACACCAGTCTAGAGGCGGTCACAAAGCTATGTGTTCCATGGCCTTGCAGCAGACTCTGGGACCCACAACAGGTGCTGGCTCAGGCACAAAGTGTGTGTACAGAAAGGACTATAGAGACTCTCAGATGACAGAAAGTTATCTTTAGGTCAGTGCTACACTGTACTTAACTGTCAGCATTTGCATGAAACTCTAGCCAGGGTTATTAACCCTCTGATTATGCATGGAAATTTTAAAAATGTTTTCTAAGGAAAGTAGAAAAAGAAACAGTTATGTACAGCTATGTTGCACTGCAGTACACTGACAGCTCTGAACCCAGCATACAGTGTCATGAGGTTGGGGATATGCACATCACCACCTCCATAAGGCCAAAGTTTCTACAAATGCTGGAGGTAAAATATGGAAATACTTTAATGTTGGGCTCAGGCGCTCAACATACCATACCCCACCCGGGACTAAGGACCACACCAGCTTCCGCAATGCGCTACGTCCCTCTTTAAATTAGCCAACCCGTGCGCACCCCGCGCTCACTCCGTACTCTGTGGCAACACCTGATTGGCCACAGCTGGATACAGTAGCCAGAGCCTGCATCCCATTCCCGCCCTGCTTCCTTGTGGCAGCCTGTGATTGGTCACGGCCAAATATATAAACCAGAGCCCGCGTAAATAAACTAGCAGTTAACTGTCGTCCACAAAAGCGTCTCCTGTCTCCTGTTTCATTGGAGCTGCGCCAGTCACTTTAACAACAAAAACAGTTGAAATAAAATATCCTGAATATGCACTTAATATACCAAATATAAACTAGGCCTGGTGGCTCTTGTGTGGAGCCCAGTACTTGAGACACTAAGGAAGGAGAATTGTTTGAGACCACTCTGGGTTATAATGTGACCTCAAAGCCAGCCTGAACTTCATAGCAACATGCTTTCTCAAAAAGATAAATACATCAAATCTAATGAACGTAATAGTGTACTAGTGATGGCCTTGTGACATTAGCATGACTATCATATTTATACTGACCTGTAGTCTACTGGAAAACCTAAGTCACAGC